GAAACCCCTAAATATCTCGGAAAATATACGTTTTACAGAAAAGTGTTTCCAACAAAAGTTGTAGGGTTTAAGAAGATCTATATACTGATTCTATCAGTTTGACCTTGGATGGCGTCGTCAAGGTCAGGTCAAGGTCACATTGACTTTTTTAAATGACACCCCCTACATTTGATTGCATATTCTTATAGCTTAATTCAAGAGCTTTCCAAAACACTATAATAATGTTCATTTTTATTAAGTACTTTGCGAGTTATGAGGGTTGAAATAATTTCTTAATTTTACATAAACCATAAAATATCTAGTAAACCATTCATTTTTCGATTATCTTACCTTCATACTTTTATGTACAAAATAATGAAAGGAATCAATTGGTGTAAAGAAAACATACAGTTGTTTTTAAGAAAAAATATGGAATTGTTAATTGCAAATTACATATTTTTTCTTAGAAACAACTATGTGTTTTCTTTACACCAATTGATTCCTTTCATTATTTTGTACATAAAAGTATGAAGGTAAGATAATCGAAAAATGAATGGTTTACTAGATATTTTATGGTTTATGTAAAATTAAGAAATTATTTCAACCCTCATAACTCGCAAAGTACTTAATAAAAATGAACATTATTATAGTGTTTTGGAAAGCTCTTGAATTAAGCTATAAGAATATGCAATCAAATGTAGGGGGTGTCATTTAAAAAAGTCAATGTGACCTTGACCTGACCTTGACGACGCCATCCAAGGTCAAACTGATAGAATCAGTATATAGATCTTCTTAAACCCTACAACTTTTGTTGGAAACACTTTTCTGTAAAACGTATATTTTCCGAGATATTTAGGGGTTTCCACACTTTTGGTAGACCCTGTATATATATATATATATACAATATACACACACCGCTATTCAATTTTAGTAGACATATCACCGATCAATTCTGAAAAACTCAATCAATCGGCATTACATTAACCCTTAGCTGGCACATGGGGTCTAAAGTACCCCAGAGTATTTTTGAACGCAAATTTTTCATAGTTACGCGCCGAATTGGGGTTTGTGACGTCATCTGGTATTAGTCGAGACTTGACCCATGATGTTTCTGCTATAACGGTCTTTTAGTCGAGCGTTACCTGCCGTAGAGAGCGCGCCGAAAATCAGCTGGGGTCCAAAGTACCCCGGTGTGTCAATAGTGTTGTTTTGAGTGAATTTTTGTGGAAAAAAAATTGTTCGTTTTTTTAGTTTGTTATCGTAAAATAAATTGTAAGTATTAATAAAAGTGTGAAAAAAAATTTTTTTATTTGTTTATTTAGTGTTTTTTATATGATTATCAGGTAATGGCGTACAATTTACGGAGCCGACCGCTCTCCGCATTGTTACTAAATGATGACGAGCACCAGGAAGTCTTCGATGAAGCGTCTTCAGGTGAAGAAGACCACATTGAGGAAGAAGATGAAGATGAGTTTGAACCACCAACTGATTCGAGCTCCGAAGAAGCAGAGGAAGACGTGGAGAACACTTCATTAGACCAACGTCTTCTTGAAGTTAGACAACGCCAAAATGAGCGTCAGCAACAGGGACGAGGCAGAGGCAGAGGCAGAGGCAGAGGTCGACCATCTACAGTGTTGCGGGGGAAAAATGGATACAAATGGAACACAGAAGTTCCAACAAGACAGTCAGGTAAGAAGCTAGACAATGAAAATACGGGACCCAACATACTGTACACATTCAAACTCTACACACAATACTTTAGTATCTATATGTATATACTCATATAGATACACAAAAGATACACAAAAGCATTGTGTGTAGAGTTTGAATGTATACAGTATATTGTGTTATTTCTCGACAATACTTGTCACATGTATATTATTATTTTCTTGCCTAAACTTTACTGCTAGTATTTGCTGTACTAATAAATAATTGTTTTTTTAGATCGACATTTTTCGCACGAAGAGCGCATCCCTGGACCAGCTGGGCCTGCTGTTGGTTTGTTTACATTTGAAGAATTGTGGTCAGTACTTTTTCCGGATGAACTTTTTCGGCTCATTGAAATACATACAAACAATCAAATCGAGAATGTTTGTGCTGATATGATCGAACAGGAATTGCAAATTCAAAGTTATCACCATCACACTGACATCGATGAATTGAAAGCGTTTGTTGGACTATTATACTATTGTGGAGCCTGGAAATCCTCAAACGTTGATGTTCACGAACTATGAAAAAACGAGTACGGCCTGACTATGTATCGTTGCATTATGTCAAGATCAAGATTTACGTTTTTGAGTATCTGTTTACGCTTTGATGACAAGAAATAAAGCCGACAGATTCGCGTCTATAAGAGAACTTTGATCGAAGTTTATTGCCAATTGTCAAAACTGTTATAATATGTCTGATAAAATCACAGTTGACGAGCAGTTGCTTAGTTTCCGTGGCCGATGTATTTTCCGAATGTATATAAAATCTAAGCCAGACAAATATGGCTAAAACTTATAACTCTAAACGATGCTCAAACTTCTTATTTATATTATGGAATTCCATATTTAGGAAAAACTTCGTTAGATGGACGTTTAGCAAATGAAACGATTCCAGAATATTTTCTAAGAAAAGTTACAGAACCCATAAATGGCTCAAATCGCACGGGGACCTGTGATAATTGATTTACAAGTATAACAGTTTTTGAGCGTTTTTAAAAAGATCCGATTAACTTGTTTTTTACTGGAACTATAAGAAAAAACAAGAGAAATCCCAGCCGAATTCAAACTTTCATCAACAATAGTGCCAGACACAAAATTCTGCTTTTCGTCCAATTTCGAAGTTGCTTTGCTTTCTCACACACCGAAAAAAACTAAAATAGTATTGGTTGCATCAACATATATAAAATCAGCAGAGATTACAGATGGAAAGCCCCATATTATTTTACATTATAATGCCACAAAAGGTGGAACTGATACCTTTGATCAGCTCTGCCATGCGTATACAACCACCAAGAGGACAAACCGCTGGCCAATGAGGTATTTCTATGGAATATTAGATCAAGCAGCGGTAAATGCACGAATATTGTTGAAATGCGCTTTGGTAAACATTGAAAACACGAATCGTGTAAGAGCAAACGATTGCTTGAAAAGCTTAGCAGTTTATCTAGTAACACCTCTGTTACGGTCACGATTAAGTAATCCGTCACTGCGCATCTCACTTCGTATGGGCATTAAAACTATTTTGAATCTGGATCAATCGAATTTACTGGAAGATGAAAGGCCGGTACTCGAACGTAGCTAGATGCACAATATGTACGCGACAATCAGACAAAAAGACGAAAATGCAGTGTCCTTCTTGTTTACGATCAATGTGCGATGAACATCGTCATTATTTGTGCGTTGAATGTGCAGGCTGTGAATGATTTTTTTTTTAATGTATATTATTATACTTTTTTTTATTGCCTACCGTAATGCAATCTTTTTTTGTACAATTATTATCATAAATTTTTTTTTTAATAATAAATGGTGATTAACAACTAGTATACGTGTTTCATTTTTTCCTCCTATTTTTCGCTAGTTTTTTCTCAAAATAAATATGTTTTTTGGAAAATCGGTTATTGGAATTGATTCTATCATAAAAAGTAGTATTACACAAGTTTACTGTTAAAATTTCATTCAAAAATATTAATATTTAAAAAAATTACAAGATTTTTAGTAAAATTTGTTAATTTGCATATTTTTTTATGCATTTTATTTTTTAAAAAATTTTATAAATAATTTCGGGTTTTATAAACTGTTTAATATTTCAGCAAAGACCTCAAAGAACATGTATAAAAATTTTCAAGTGAAAATATTAATAAATTAAAGAAATATGCACATTTTTTCTCACTGGGGTCCAAAATACCCCATATAACAGATGTTATTATTTTGACGTGTGTCAGCTAAGGGTTAAATGAACTAATCAAAGCGACTTTTCTTTCGCGATTAGGATAATATTACGTTTGTCGGACGTAGCTAACAAATAGAGAATTTTTAAAGTCTCTATCGAGATTCTAACAGTTCTCTATCTAATACTCAATCATTAGTTCGGCAAACACTTTCGTATGAATGTATTATTAACATTAGACAATTGTGCTTTACTTCACGCGTATCTAGACGGGAAAATTAATTAACACCATCTTTTACAGAATTATAATGACCTTAATATCGACATAATTAATTTAAAATCTTAATCCTTATTATAGAATTAATTATTAAATGTATTAATTGTATAAATTTTTAATCTTTTTGTAAATATAATAATTATATAGACAATTTTAAATACTCATAAGTTATAAGATTAATATCTGTAGACTGTTTATATTTAACAAATATTGTGAATAGCTCTCCTAAATTTAATAATTGATAGTAAGAACAAATGGCAATAGAGAGCGAATAAGTAGGTGAAAATTATAATAAAGAAAACAGTTATAATAATTTAATAAAAAGAGACGCAAGAGGTGAGAATGTACAGAGGTTCATATAAATAGTCTTGAAATATATATAAAAGTAAAAATAAAAATAAAAATAAAAATAAAAATAAAAATAAATATAAAGATAGCGGACGTTTCGGCTCTTGGTTCGAGCCTTCTTCAGCGCAAAGATATAATATTAATAAATAATACGGGACATACAATAAATCATAATTACTAAAACGAAGAATGAATAAAAGCAAAGACGAGATCGCAGAGATGTAACGTTAATAATCGCTTGTCAAAAATATTGGTCTTCATAAAAAGATGTGGAAGCCTTTATTACGCGAATGTAATAGAAGTAGAACAGTGGCTCGACAACAGTACCAGGTGCAGTCTAAAATTGGCACCGACAAATTATAGATGTTAATATTATAAAAGGATGAAAGAAAAGGTACTTACTAAGACACTGTTCTACTGTGGAACTAGAGATGGAAAGCGTACAACAAGCTTCAAACATAAAATCGGTTACTGTCAAAAATGACGGTGAGAGGCACTTATATATACTCGAACGTGACTTTCATATTTTCGGTAGTTTGTTTATAATGTCATGATACAAAGACGGTAAACTTTCTGTGTCTGTCTGCAAATTTAAACCATTCTTCTGTCTTTTTATAAAAAGCATTTCTGAGATGAGTCTTCTATTATAAAAAGAAGTCTCATCAAGAACCTGAACGTCATTCCAACGAAAATCATGATCTCCTTGTAGTCTATGATTAGTAATGACAGAGCGAGTAGCAAGATTTTTATTAATATGTGATCTATGCTCTGAAATTCTTGTCTTTAACATTCTCGATGTTTGGCCGACATATGAGGCATCGCAATCGGAATAGTTAATTTTGTAGACTACGTTTGTTCTACAGTTAGTGGGAACATAGTCTTTATGAACTTTAATAAACTTGTTTAGTTTATTCAGGCTGGTATAGGCAAGTTTTACGTTCAAGTTGTTTGTAACACCTCTGAATTGCTCAGTGACACCCGGCAGATATGAAACTGTAAAAAACGTGGAGGAATCGTTTGATGCACTATGATCATTGTGAACACGACCATTAATCAAAAATCTTAGCCGTTGGTTCATGACTTGAAAAACAAGGCTCAGAGGATATCCATTGTCCAGAAGGATCCTTACAACAAGGTCAAGATTTTTATAATGAAAAGTCGGATGTGATAAAGAGAAAACCCTGTCCACGAGACCGATTATCGTGCCCTTCTTTTGGCAAAGTGGATGTTGAGAGAAATAATTCAGATATCTGCCCGAAAATGTGGATTTGTGAAACCAGTCAAATATTAGAACGTTATTATTGACAATTATAGTTACGTCCAAGAAGTTGATTATTCTGTCAACCTCTAGTTCATAAGTAAATTGTAATCTGTCATGAAAGGAATTAAAAATGAAAAGAGTCGAGTCAATTGAGTCTGTAGGAACAGTCATTAAGATGTCGTCAACATATCTAAAATAAAATCGTGGAGTAAATCTCAATGTATTCAAGGCTTTCTCTTCCAAGTCCTGTAAAACTATGTCAGCAATGATAGGTGATATGGGAGATCCCATGGGAGTGCCGAAAGTTTGTTTATAAAACATGTTATTGAAAGTAAAAAAAGTGGAGTTTAATACTAGTCTAACTGCATTTAAAAACTCAAATTCAGGCAAACAACATGTGTTCTGAATAAATCTCCATCTGCTCGAGACGCTGGAAAGAGCCAGATCAACCGGAATATTCGTGAACAGGGAAGTCACATCTAGTGAGATTAACACAGAATCGTCATCAATGTGAATATCAGCTAATTTATGTACTAGATCGAAACTGTTATTTATGTGACTAGGAGCGATAGGAAAGTTCTTAATCATGACCTTGTGCAAAAATAATGCAAGGGAATAGAGAGGGCTATTAATAGATGAGACGATGAGTCTGAATGGAATGTTGGTCTTGTTATGGATTTTTGGTAAACCATAGGCTCTAGGTAAAGTCACATCGGTAAACAGAAGAGATTTGTAAATGGCATTAGAGATATAGCCATGATTTTTCCATCTCGATAATACAAGCTCTCGCAAGCTAGAAATCAGTTTTTTTGTAGGGTCCTTCTTAATTATTGTATAAGTATTCTCGTCTCCAAGTAATTGCTGAACCTTGTTTATATAGTCCGTTCTACCAAGTGCCACCGTAACATTCCCCTTATCTGCGCGTGTAAGGATGAGATCTTTGTTCTTTAGTAGGAAATTTTTAGTAATTGAATAGAGGCGTGTCAACCATTCATTTTGTGAATTTCTAGGATAAGAAAAAGAAGGGATGTTTTTAATCACTGATTTCGATTTGTCTCTAATAGAAATTCTTAATTCCGGAGAAAGCTTCATTAAGTTGCATTCAATGTGTTTTATGAATTCAGTAGTTAAATTGGGAATGTTAATGTGAAGAAAGCTAAAATTCTCCCCAAGTTGTAAGAAACTTTGAATTTCCGGAGGAATATATACGTTCGATAGATTGACAAACCATTTATCCTTAATCTCATTCAAATTAGAATGTGAATTTGTATATGTGTTAGGATCAATTAGAATTTCACAGATATTATTTAATGGTAAATTGTTCCTATTGAATGACCATTTAAAGCGCTGTAATGAGGCAGAATCATTATCAAGAATCGAAGGAAGTAGATGACAATAGTAGTGAATCGGTTTGAGAATGTTTTTACTGCGTTGTTTTGAAAGCAAGAAATTAAATTTTTTGTTTAGTCTGTAATTATCATTTAGGTAGAAGCAAAATAAAGGGCGGCTTTGACTATTGAAAAAATAATTACAGACATGTTTATATTTACATAATAGAAACGCGTGAAGTAAAGCACAATTGTCTAATAGCGAAAGAAAGATTGTTTCAATCATTTCATCTCGTGCGACACCGATTGGTTGAATTTTTCAGGAGTCATCGATGATATATTTACTAATTGAATAACAGAAATTTTTTATTTGGCTTTTCTTTATTTTAATTGATCGTTGAGCTTGAGCCAAGATGAACAACGTCAATTTCGTTTTAGGAGTTCTCAGCTAACACCAATATCTGAAATGTATAATAGGAATATATTTAATAGTAACATATATAGTTTTGCTTTATTTTTATAAACATTATTATATATATAAATAAAGATAAAATAAATATGTGATCTTAGTTTAAAAAATAAAGAACAAATTTTAGATTTTATTACGTTTTAAAATGATATGTCATAAAGCTCCATTTGTCAAATTGCAATTGAAAGACTTAATCTTGTATGATGTATCCCAAATTCGAGGTATTGTGATGCAAGTTTGTAAAATTACTTACTTTACTTGTTGATTCAACTATTGTGGACTATGCATTTTTTCGCTTTTTTTGCTTCTATAGTTCTGCCTCTCGTAATTTCTGTGCCGATAACAGTTAATTAGGCTTCTATTTTCATTCTTAGAGTAATAACCAGTAATTTGCAGATGATTCTTCAAACGAACATTCAAACTCCTTTAATGTGAAAGCTGGATTCGATACTGAAGGATTGATTGGCGCAATCTGTCTCGTTCTCTTTTCTAGGAAACAAACACAAATTTATATTATATGTGTGATAGTTATTAATTTCGTTATTAATCTATTATCTAGTTAAATTATTTTTAACATTATTGTTATTAATGCAATTAATGATTAATAAGGAAACAACTTATGAAAGTTTTAATTGGATTGTCAAGTTGGCTAAAGTACTTGAAAACATTTGATTGACCAATCGGAAATCTTTGTCTTTATTGGTCAAAGATTTCTGATTGGTCAATCAAATATTGGAGATGAACGTGTTTATAATAACTGTAGGCTTCTTCTGTAACTTTGAACGATAATATCACTATCATTACGTGTTGTGCATGTATTTTGACATGTCATTATACATGCACATTAATATATAATGATAGTAACATTATCGTTCATATTTACGAAATAAGTTTACAGTGACATTGAAAAGTGCTAATTTTGAAAATGGAATTCTATTTGGCATTAAAAAATGCCGATTTTGCGAATTAAGGTGAATTTTATCTGGCACTAAAAAGTGCCGATTTTGTGAATCGAGGCGAATTCCACGTCGAACAATTAAAAATGTGGCACTTTCAATGCCGTTTGGCCAATGAAAAGTGCCATTTGGCGCTAAAAAGTGCCAATTGATTGATGATTTTCCTTGTCTGTCCTTGTCCTTGTCTTTGTCCTTGTTCTTGTCCTCAGGCCGCCGTTTTCCTCTCGCTTCCTTCTGGATCCCAATTCTTGAGTATATACGAACAATTTTCGTATGTGAAAACAATATTCATTCAATATGAATCATTGTTCACATGAAAGTTGCTTGTACATCCTCCCAAGAACTGATATTTTGATCTTCTTTCTTCCTGTAAGTATATAAATACAGGGTCTACCAAAAGTGTGGAAACCCCTAAATATCTCGGAAAATATACGTTTTACAGAAAAGTGTTTCCAACAAAAGTTGTAGGGTTTAAGAAGATCTATATACTGATTCTATCAGTTTGACCTTGGATGGCGTCGTCAAGGTCAGGTCAAGGTCACATTGACTTTTTTAAATGACACCCCCTACATTTGATTGCATATTCTTATAGCTTAATTCAAGAGCTTTCCAAAACACTATAATAATGTTCATTTTTATTAAGTACTTTGCGAGTTATGAGGGTTGAAATAATTTCTTAATTTTACATAAACCATAAAATATCTAGTAAACCATTCATTTTTCGATTATCTTACCTTCATACTTTTATGTACAAAATAATGAAAGGAATCAATTGGTGTAAAGAAAACATACAGTTGTTTTTAAGAAAAAATATGGAATTGTTAATTGCAAATTACATATTTTTTCTTAGAAACAACTATGTGTTTTCTTTACACCAATTGATTCCTCTCATTAATTTGTACATAAAAGTATGAAGGTAAGATAATCGAAAAATGAATGGTTTACTAGATATTTTATGGTTTATGTAAAATTAAGAAATTATTTCAACCCTCATAACTCGCAAAGTACTTAATAAAAATGAACATTATTATAGTGTTTTGGAAAGCTCTTGAATTAAGCTATAAGAATATGCAATCAAATGTAGGGGGTGTCATTTAAAAAAGTCAATGTGACCTTGACCTGACCTTGACGACGCCATCCAAGGTCAAACTGATAGAATCAGTATATAGATCTTCTTAAACCTACAACTTTTGTTGGAAACACTTTTCTGTAAAACGTATATTTTCCGAGATATTTAGGGGTTTCCACACTTTTGGTAGACCCTGTATATAATATATTTTTCCTGTAAGTGTGCAATAGTCGACCAGCTTTTAATATTGCGGAATGAAAAAAATTATAAAGAATTAATATGTTATAGTATACATGGTCAAAATTTAGTGAATAACTTTCCTTCCATTTCTAAATTTAATCTTTTTAATGATGTTCAGCCTTAATTTTATCACTTTTATTTTTCTACTCTAATTCGATTGCTTTCTCTCTCATATGCAACTATTTATGTGAAATAAATAGTCGCATATGAGAGAGAGAGAGAGAGAGAGAGAGAGAGAGAGAGAGAGAGAGAGAGAGAGAGAGAGAGAGATAGAATTAAATTAGGAATATAAAAAGGTAATGGAATTAAGGAGAAACATCATTAAAGCTCAATTGCACCAACATTATTTTGGATTTAATACTTAAATATGTGTCTGTCTTTATTTATTTAAAGAGAAACATAAAAATAGACACATATTTAGGTATATCGCTTAAATCCAATATAATGTTGATGCAATCTGGTCTAAGAAAAGAGAATTAGTATTTAGAAAGAGACAGAGAGAGTTGATTGTCAAATTTTGTTCATGTATAAGAATATATACTTATTTTCATATAACTGACCTAATTTTCATGTGCTTGTATCTCATCGTATTCGTCGCTCCATAGTGCTCTCTCGTTTCTATTTTCTCTTTCCGGATGACGTAAATTGTTGCGGGCCTTGTTCCTGTGTCTTTGCTTGGCTGTTCGCACAGCATCCCGCATATATGTTTGAAATGCAGCCCGCAATGGTCTTTCAAAATTTTTATTTTCACAGATGGCATCTGTAAAAGGAAACAAATATAAAATAGTACTATTAATATCGCAACTTTAGTATTATGCGTAATAATATCATACCGTAAATAGCTTTTACTAAGCGGGTATTATATAGGGGTCGTTGATTTTCTTCACGGCCAAACCAAGTGTAGAAGATCATCAAAGAATCTTGGAATATTTCTCTCACGCATAAATTAATACTTTCTTTTACATTGAGACCACCAATAAAAATCAAATAATTCTATAAAAATATTACATTTATATTACATGTATTTTTATTTACATGTATTTGCGTCAAATGTACTAAAATTATATATATATATATATATATATATATATATATGAGATGAACTTTTTGTTTTACATACCAATTTCATGTATTTTTCATCATTGGCCGTTTCAAATTTCTCAATGTCTCCAACAGATGATATTGGCAAAAATATTGGCTTTTCGGGCACATGTCTTCGGCTATTGCTCATCTGTGTCAATACCTTTTCCAACTTTTGATGTATTTTTCTGTAAAATGCACATAATATATATAAATAATATAATAATAGATTAAGGCCGGAATTCATAGTCCGTTCTTATATTTAAGATCATCTTAAAGTCTGGTTTTAGGTTGTCTTAAGATTCTATTCAGCCAATGAAATAGCCGTATAACATTTTCAAGTCTTACTTAAGAAGATCTTAAATATAAGCATGGATTATGAATTCCGACCTAAGATATAAAAATGATTGACATTGTTTATGTACGTAATGCGTTTAAAACTTACTGAACTTCTGAAGTTAACAGATTTATTTTCCCATGTATGGCTCTGTAAACATTAATGTTATTATATTTTTGTATATGACTATAAAAAGCGTACATATATATCAATTATAAAAATTTCTATTCGATGTACACTCACTGAATTTCTAGTCTCACATCATTAAATTCTCCTGCAGCTCGTACTGATGACGAAGAACTTGGCAGATAACTTGAAGTTGGCCAGATGTTTGAAGCCTGCAACTGAATGTTACGTGGTGTATTTAATCTGTTATCAAGTTGTGTATAAGTGACAGATGCATGTGGTTCATGTGTAAATGTTTGTGTTGTATGTTGTTGAGAAGAATGAGAGTCTAGATGAAAACTTTGTCGTGCGTAGGATGATGATTGTGATGTTTCGTGCATAAAAGGTGCTTGTGTTATGTGGATGACTGTTAATGGTTGTGCGTAAGTTGAGTGTGATGTGACATTGGGGCAAAATGCTTGTGTTGTGTAACTGTTGTGTTGTGTAACGGTTGATTGTGCGTTAGTTTGTGAGTGTGTTGTGTCACTAGATTGTGCGTAAGTGAGTGAATGATGAGCATGCATATTTATATCGGGAGAATGATTCTCTAATACTCTCCGTAACTCAGCGACATCTTCTTCTAATTGACTGCCTTGTAGTTTCATCGTCTTTTTTCCTGTATCTGCCTCGTCCGAAGATGATGTAGTTTGAAATCGTCGTGGTTTGATGATGTTCCGTTTGGGACGATGATATTCCGTTTGATCCATATTCTTTCTTTCTGTAAATACATATATAATATAGGTATATGTATGTACACACACACCACATACACACCACACACACACACGCGCGTGCGCGTATGTGTACATATGAATATATATGCAGATGTGTATATATGTGTATATATGCGTGCGTGTGTGTATTCAAATATTCTGAAAAGAAGAATCTAAGCCGTTGGAGTATATAGAGCATTCAATGAAATCAGTACATGCAAAATAGTTCCTAAAAAATAAAAAACTTCGACATTTTATGCAAAAAAATAGAAGATAGAAAATTAAACGAGAGAAAAACCAAATTTTGAATAATACTCGAATAATAATCTTATAATTACAATTATATATATTTTAAGAATGATTCGCTCTTCAAGCGCAAAAAATGTAGAGAGCATTTAAAATGTTTGAAGAATTTAGTCAACATTACCATTCCAATTAAAATAAGAATGAGAGATAGAGATACACACAATTAACTAGGCACAATTATACTAACCTGTATTTTGTTAGTCATCCTGGAGAATCTATTTTTCTTTCTGCAAATTGTATCTAAGAGAATAGCTAAATGCAGTTTTATTTTAGATTATCTGTATGTATAATTGCGCAAACTATATACTCGATAATTTCTGACTCGTCACTATTATTATCATCTACCAATGAACCCCAAAAAGGCATTTTATAACATTTGAAGCGTACTTGATTCAATTGGATACAAAAAATCTCACTACTTAATGTGGAACATTTAAATATTTCAATTGCTGAAGACGAAATACCAACATCATAGAATGAATCTATCTTTTGAAATTTCTTCACAATTAAATATATGATTTCGTCCATTAAGATATTGACAATGAGACAAATCGATCCGTCGTGTAAAATACAACAATTATCTCGTATATCTAAATTCAGCAAAATTCCGTTAAATATTAATTTACGCTACTGACGGCTCGTAGGATTAACATTAGGTGGAAGAGGACCTTCATTATGCGCTGCAAATACTTGCGCAGAAGAATCAATGAATTCAGAATGAGTTTGACTACGGTGCAAATTTGTTTCACAAGCTTCCATCTCTGCCATTCTATTGGAAAACTGTTAAAGAGGAAAATTAGGTTTCCTACAATATTTTCTGAAGATTGACATATTATTTTCATACGGAAAAGCAGAAAATGAATCAAGAGGGCCTAGCTGCCGCACGTCATTTGTAAGATGAAGAAGACCGTGCACATTGTACGAAATAAATGATGATCCATAAAGATTCTCACATCGAGCAACAAATTTTTGTAGAGCAAGTTCAGCAAAATTTAAATATTTTCTCGATGGTGAAGAAGAAACCAATATTCTTATGGCAGTATGCAAAAACAAAAAATGAGTATGTACTTTTTGATTTAGGATACCGTATGTTACGACTGAACCTGTATACAATAGAAATTGACGCAATTCTGTTGCCTTGTATTTAGTAAATACATCAATTGCTCTAGGACGTCTTGCAAATTCTGATGGACAACATACTTTAAGATTATCTAATCTTTGAGATATTATAGCGATGGATTTTGCTGATAATTTTGAGAAACGTGTATATTTACCACATATCCATGCGGATAAAAGTTTCTTCATAACTCCCAAGCATACCAGATGCATATACTCGAAAGGAACTTGTGAAACTATACCTATAGGTAACATTGACAATGGACTTTTGCCATCTTTATGATGATCCTCATCTATATATCTAATATATTCTGCGTCTGTTCGAAGAAGATGATTAATATCACCAAACATGTACCTACCTTCACATCGTATACCAGAAACTCTGCATTTCGAACATGGTTTACTAGATGTATGGCCTCTATGATTAAGAACAAAAGCTCGAGCTGGTGCATCGGCTATAAAACATCTTAAACGTATTGGTATTTTATTGCCACCAAAAATTATATCACCATTAGTTATTATACTATTAACATCTGTAACAAATTTCTCAAAAAATAAATTAGAATCATGTGGTTTCTCAGGACCACTATATATTCCAATTACTATTGGCTTCGTGTATTGAATATTAGCAAGTCTGCATTGAATTGGCCAAATGTGAATACTTCCTAACCTATCTAAGCTACAACCATCTGTATTAAAATCTATTTCTAATTCAGACGGTATTGATTTCGAAGGAAGACGTGATAGAGTTTTAACAATTTTTGCCTCAAGAGAAAAATGAATATATTTTCCAGGATCTATTTTGGATACGACAGTAGGTGTTCGTGGAGTTTTTAAAAGAGTTCTAGCATCTTTTGGTAACGAAGAAAAGCACGTATGCGTTCGAAGAACAGATAGAATACTATTACTTTGAACATGTGTTAAATTATTATTAATAAAACATGTGGCTAAACGATCTTGAAATGTTTCGTCAATGGAAGAAATACCAAGAGATGAGGAAGTGGAATCTTCAGTATCACCATTATAACTATTAGATAATATATTATTATCGATATTACCGTTATCTGTAATATTAGAGATATCATTAGCAATATCATTTGTGGAAGAAATATTGTCTATTCGAAAGGAATCAGCAACGTGAATATAAGAAGTAACATTATCCCTATGTTTGAGCGTAACGGAATCTTGTAAAAGTGTTGCATTATTTAAACGTAAAGTATCTTTAATCTCTAAAGTAATTCGCCTTCGTTGTCTCGCAGACAACCGATGAAAACATTTACGCGAAACAGAATATTTAACTGGTTTCATACTCGCCTGGAACGCCTTTCAAAAATCTTCTAGAATTGTATCCTCTGCGATAACCTTGCGGCACTCACGATGGTTGAATTCAGAAGAACTCGGAAGCAGCACTGGTTGTAGCATGAGACTCATGCATGCGCAGTACATTAGGGCTTGTGCACACAGAACGCAGCAACGCTTATTGCGCGACAAGAGACGACGCGGTAACCAATCAGGGCTCCTGTATACAGAACGGAATTGGTCACGTCCTATGCACGTGACACGTGATTCAGTCGCGCACATGGCTGCGGTTCGGGAAATGTCTCAAATGCTTGGAAACATTTTACACTACCAATCAGGAAAAAAGAATATAACTAAAATGTAAACTTATGTGCTAAGACAATCTTAGAAATAAAACAAAAAGTTTATTTAAAAATATTTTTAAAAAAGTGCAAGTTATAAATTAATAATCGAGCATATCATAATATATATATATATATATATATCAATCGTATACTTTGACGACGATTTTTCGTAACCATTGGCTATTTCGACGACTTTTGGCTATTTTGACGACGGTAGTAAAAATTTTTACCGATAAATCGTATACTTTGGCGACGTCGTCAAACTAATCCGAAACGGAGAATAGATTAATTTGATGTCATTGTATACTTTGACGACACTATATTTATCTTTTGGCGATTTTGACGACAATAAAACAATTTAACAAAGAATTGAAAATATAATATTCGACATATAATAAAATGATTTTTTTTCATTAAAAATAACTTAAATGACTTAAACTGATTTAAAATGACTTATTTTGACGAGATTTAAGAAATACTCTTTTGTCTCATATTTTTAAAAAAAGATACATATAATACATATAACACAACATGCTGCCTTAAGTATGACATGTTAAGCACTAATTTTTCTGATGTATTCACTAATTAATTAACAGTACAAGTGGTCTTTCAATATTCCAACATGTTAAAAATATAAAATCGTTTATATTTCAAGAATCTCTGCAGATGAATGAATGGGCGTTGATCATTCCATTACATAACACAAGATTCTATTAGCGGAGACTATAATATTAAGCTCTCGCTTAACAGATTCTCATGGTTTGTAATGGATTTCCTCTTGACACTCTGTGCATTTTGGATCTGTGCAAATTATATTCATTTATCTCGTACTGTCTTCTGCTAAAATAGAAATAAACATAATACAATATTAATAAGCAGTGTGATGAAAAGATATCTTTTGAATTGCAATCTTACCTGTATAATCCTCATAATAACTCAGGCTTCTCTTGGACTCAACAAACAATTAGAAAACAGAATGAAAATATTTCACCAATGCTGTAATTACACTGTATTTATCCCAGCACTTATATGTATTGCACAGCATGCATTATTTCTAGCAAAGATTCCACTGTAAATACAAAAAATTAATGAATTAAAAAATTATTAAATTTATGTTAAATATTCTTTATTGTTACCTATAAACTATGAAAATATAACAACAATACTCATCTTTAATTAAATATGTCTTGCATATACATCCACTTGTCTCACGTTACTAAAATACTCGCGTAGATTAGGTAAGATTGCTTATCCAATGTCACATCGTAAAAAAGGCCAATATACTATAAATTTTTCCAAAAGTTTGATACTAAGAACACACAAAATATAATGTTAAAACAAGAACGAACGCGAGGTTAGGATATATGTCATATCTGGAGTAAGCATTCTAGATGAACGTTCTGTTACAATATTTCTATTATTTAAATAACGAATTATTATTTATATAAAAATCAAAAAAATGATAAATTATTTAAATAAAAATATTACATAGCGTTCTTCTATGCCTACTTCGGGTAGAACTCTACTGTAGATATGACAGATAATCCTAACCTAACCTAACCTCGCGTTCGTCCCTGATTTAACATCATATTTTGTATTTCTAGTATCATGCATCTGAAAGTTTACAGAATATTGCTTCTTCTCTTATGATATAACGATGGATAAATAATTTTTGCTGAAATACGCGAGTATTTTAACAATTTGAGACAAGTAAATGTGTAAAACTCATTTAATTAAGAGGGAGTTTTATTGTTAAAATTATTATGATTTATATTTATAAATAATAATAAAGATTCTGATACACATGCTTCATAATTTAATTAATCAATTTTTTTCTATTTGCAGTGGAATCTTTGCTAGAAATAATGCATGCTGTGCAACACATACAAATACTGGGATAACTTGCATTTTATTTTCTTATTGTGTGTAAAACCTAAACAAATCCTGAATTATTAGGATGATAATTATATGGGTAAGATGCAGTTCACACAAAAGATATCTTCTCATCATGCTTTTTATTAATAATGTGTCATGTTTATTTTAGCAGAAAACAGTGATAAGAATTTGCAAATCACAGATCTAAGATGCATCGTGTGTCAAGAGGAAATCCATTAAAAAGCACGAGAATCTTTTAAGCAAGAGCTAATATTGAAGTCTCCGCTAATAGAATCTTGTGTTATGTAATGGAGTGATCAATGCCCATTCATTCATCTGCAGAGATTCTTGAAGTATTAATAATGTTATATTGTTGACGATTAGAAGATTTGAAGACAACTTGTACTGCTATTCAATGAATATGTCAGAAAAGATAGTGCTTAACATGTCATACTTAAACTCAGCATACTGTATTATATATATATTACATGTATCTTATGTACATACATGTAAAAATCTGTTAATTTTTATTTTAATTATTTATTAAATTTACATTTATATTGGACAATGTGTTTATACATATAACATTCTGGGGAAATATATCTGTATCACTGTGATAATTATTTTGTAATAATTATACAAAAAAAATTTTACATGTATGTATGTATGTACCGTCATAATGCTATCTTGAAATATGATATTAAAATAAGTAAATCTTTACAATTGCATATCTATATTTCTCGTATTGTATACTGTCTGTAAACAGAATTGTACTTTACTCTTTTGCAAATAAAATTTCACATAAGTCGGGGTTTTGTGAGATTTCAAGTGCGAAAGAATACACTAAAATTCTTAATTTACATGCAACACATACAAGAGAAACATTAATATGCAATATAAAAATTTAATTATTCTAATACCATATTTCAGGATATGCATTAAGTAAGATGGTTCATACATACATGTAAATTTTTTCGTATAATTGTTACAAATATAATTATTACAGCAATACAGATACATATTCCCAAAAAGTTATATGTACAAACACATTGTCCAATATAAATGTAAATTAATTAAATAATTAAAAATAAAAAATTAACAGGTTTCTACATGTACATAAGATACATGTAATATATATAATGCAATATGCTGCCTTTAAGTATGATATGTTTAGCACTATTTTTCCTGACATATCTACTGAATAACAGTACAAGTTGTCTTCAAATCTTCTAATTGTCAACAATATAAAATCATCAATATTTCACAAATCTCTGCAAATGAACGAATAAGCGTTGATCATTCCATTACATAACACAAGATTCTATTAGCGGAGACTATTATATTAAGCTCTCGCTTAATAGATTCTCATGGTTTGTAATGGATTCCCTCTTGACACTTGGTGCATCTTGGATCTGTGATTTACGAGTTATTATAAATCTATCATCGTCTTCTGCTGAAATGAAAATAAACATGATGACAATATTAAGAAGCAGCGTGATAAGAAAATATCCTTATGTACCAAAATCTTTTATCTGTCATAATAACTTACGCTTTTTTTAGATTTAATGAAAGATAAAATAACATAATGAAAAAATTTCCTAATGTAATTACACCGAATTATCCCAGCACTTAAATGTGTGATACACAGCATGCATTATTTCTAGCGAAAATTCTGTAAATAGAAAAAAGTTGATTAATTAAATCATTATTAAACTTATGTTAAATACACTTTATTATTACTTACAAACTATGAAAACATAACAATATACTCCCTTTTAATTATTTATGCCTTACATATACGTCCGCTTATCTCACGATGCTAAAACGTTCATGTATAAGCTCAGATTGCTTATTCATCGTAATATAGTAAGAAGGGTCAATAGTTTATATACTTCCAAATATTTCATACTAAAAACACAAAATATTTATACAGGGATGAAAGCAAGGTTAGGATATCTGTCATCTGGAGTGAACATAGAAGAACGTTATGCTAGAATATTTTTAATATGTAAATAATAAATTATTATTTAGTGAAATGTAGAAAATAATTTAATATTTAAATAAAAATATTCTTCCATAGCGTTCTCCTACAATGCCTACTCCAGATAGGACAGATATTCTAACCTCGCTGTTCATCCATGTTTTTATAAGACAATCTGTGTATTTTTAGTGTGAAACAATTGAAAGTTTATGGGATATTGCTCCTTCAAACGATATACAATGTTGCTTATATATATACAAAACGTCACACACGCGACAAATACTTTTCGGCGCGGTATCATATGTCGCGGCTCATAAGAAGCAGTGGACTGCACGCTTCGAGCGGCGAGTGAAGACTGAGGAGAGATCGACATGCGATATATGAATCATATGATACTACGCCGAAAAATATTATCACATTACTTTTTCAGCGATAGGAAAATGTCGCGTGTAGGACATCCTGCCTATATACACATTGTACATTTACAATGATACCATTCAAGGATTCAAGATTTATTAAAGAGAGAATGACGAATACACGCTCATTTATACACGCTCATTTATACACGCACGATTTATGTTTCCTAAATTGTTTTATAAACAGCGTGGAGCTATTTATCATTTGCAACTTGCACACGTATTCATTTCAATTTTAACATGTAGTTTATAACATTAATACTACTTAATTTAACATGAAATTTATCACAATTCGGTATGCGCGTGAAATAAAAAGAAAAAGAAATAAAAAGAAAGGGATAGTGAAAGGAAAATAGAGAAACGGAAAGAGATAAATATATATAATTTGATCATGATCATACTTTCTTATTAACGCATACGATGCATGTGAAGCAAGAAATAAATTTATAATTCACG